CCCACCCCGGCCCTCCCGCCCGCGTCTCCCGAGCTCCTCTCCTGCGCTGTTCGCGCCCTACCCGCCCCCGGTCCACGCTCTGCTGCGGGCTGTTCTCCCGGGTCTGGGCTCACATCTCCCCTGCGCGCCTTTTGCCCCCCACCCCGCAGATCCGCAGGCCTCTGGAGACCTTGGGTTGACGCCAGAGGCGACGGGGAGGAGGGGGCGAGGCACCACGCGGCGGAGGCGGTGAGTGAGCCGCGCGCCTCGGGCCGCGCCTCCCAGGGGCGCAGATGATGTACCGGGACTGGGTATGCCCTGCCCGAGCGGGACACACGCCCGGCCTGCCCCTCGCTTAAGATCGCGCCCGCCCGAGGCCCTACCAGAGGCCCTGTGGGTCCTGATGCTGCGAGTTTGTCATCCAGAGCAGCGGACACACGGATACGGTCGGGAGCGAGGCTGCTGACAGCCCCGGGGTCACATTCCCTGCCGGCGCGAGGAACGCTAGATCGCGCGCTTTCCCCGTTTCTACAAGGTGAGTGATAACTGCGATTCGTGTCCTTTCGTCCCCAGATGCCGGATGGCCCCGGGATGACCGAAGCCGCAGGAAAGCTTTCCCAATACAGACACCCAGTCAGGTGAGTGACAGGCCTCCCCGAAGGTCTCCCGTTCCTCCAGCGGGAATCGCACCGCCTAGCTCCACGGCTGGCCTTGCAGCATTTCTGTCTCGGGAAATCTGTCTTCAAGGATCGCAGAGGTCCTTTACTAATCGAATTGACGAATGTAGTTCACGCTCTCACCTAAAAGAACTGTTAATCAGTGCACACTGAGCAAACTCTTAAAAAATATATTATAAAGACGGAAAGTGGATGGTGTCGTGAAAGTAGACCGGTGACAGCGTGTGCCAGCAAACCAATTTTTTCTTTTTTTTTTTTTTTTTTTTGAATGCTGAAGAGGTCCGGTGAAATTGACTTCACAACAGGCAGACTGTGTATATTCTTTTTTTTTTTAAAGGTTTTTCCCCCAATGTTTATTTTTTCGAGAGAGAAAGAGAGAGACAGAACGCGAGCGGGGGAGGGGCAGAGAGAGACACACACGCACAGAATCCCAAACAGGCTCCAGGCTCCGAGCTGTCAGCACAGAGCCTGTTGCGGGGGCTTGAACTCCTGAACCCTGAGATCATGACCTGAGCCGGAAGGCGGAGGCTTAACTGACCGAGCCATCCAGGCGCCCCAGACTGTGTATAATCTTATTCTCTTGCAAACCAGACGGAAGAATGGTGTTCAAAGTGGCAGTGTTACGGCAAAATGAGCTTGACATGTAAGAGAAAATGGAGTGTAATGAAAATCCTAAAGATCGCTAAACACTGTAAAAAGGATAGAAGTTACTCGACATAACAATGAGGACCTACCCTGCAGTTCCTAGGCACAGGAAGTCGGCCTTTATGTAGAATCCTTTGTAGCTTTTATTCAGGTGAAAGGTTATTCTGCAGTTTGCTTGCTTCAGAGAGCTGTGAAATGCAGACATGTATGATATTCATATGTACGTGCTTATAAACAGCATGTAGAAGGCAATATATGTTGGTTAATTTCTTACCATGTGTCAGCACTAGTAAGGGACACAGGGAAAAAATAATCACACCCCTTTAACAAGTGTTGTCATGGTTTAGTTTGGTCTGTTTTACCTGTATGGGCCAAACATAAGCACCTAACTCTGCCAGAGGGAGTGGGGAAAGATCTGGAAAGTGTGTATGATAGGTTGTGGTTACCTAGCTGAGTCTCAAAGTTAGCCAGATGGATGGTAGGTGTGGGAAAAGGGGACAGAAGAAATAGCATAGGAAAAGGGATACAGAGTCATAGAACACCATAGCTCCCTCCGGGAGTATCAAGGAGCTGGAATTTGGGTAAGTGAAAGTGTGGTCATTCCAGCAGGTAAGCCAGAGGCCGGATCTTGCACACCATGGTAGAGAGTTTTGTGGCATTGGGAACCCATGGACTTAATTCTGTAGATGGTATTGGGGGTTACCCAAAGGATTTTTTTTAATTTTTTTTTCAACATTTATTTATTTTTGCGACAGAGAGAGACAGAGCATGAACGGGGGAGGGGCAGAGAGAGAGGGAGACACAGAATCGGAAACAGGCTCCAGGCTCTGAGCCATCAGCCCAGAGCCTGATGCGGGGCTCGAACTCTCGGACCGCGAGATCGTGACCTGGCTGAAGTCGGACGCTTAACCGACTGCGCCACCTAGGCGCCCCGCCTACCCAAAGGATTTTAACCACAAGAGAAGTGTGATCAGATTTGTGTTTCAGAAAAAGCACGAAGAAAATGGTATATAGGCTTAGTTAGAACACCGAAGTGAAGTTGGAAGTTATTGTAATTCAGGCAAGATATGCTAAAGAGCCATTCTGACGCATTGGAAGTGGGGCTGGGACTGACAGAATTTGGGGAAGGCTTGGGTGACATAATAGGGTTATAATGTATTGGATATAGTAGGTAAAGAAGAGGTAGAAAGACAGAATGGCTCCCAAGTTTGTGTCTGATGACTAGATGAATGCTGCACCAACAGAGTGGAAATTAGGGCTTAAAACAGATTTGGGGAACAAGATAACGAGTCTAGTTTTTCATTTATCACATTCAATGGGCCTATGGGATATCCAAATAGATGTGTCCAGTAAAGAGTTGCATCTATAGGTAACGGGCCCACAGTCAAGATCTTAAATGGAAATACAGACAGCTTAGAGTCTTCAGTAAATGAATGTTTGGGGAAATCATGGTGGTGAGTGAGGTCTTCCGGGGGACTTCGGGAGGAGAGATGATCACTCTTGATAAAACGCTTGGGAAGGCCAGTTTTAACCTGTATACACAGAAAAAGGGATCCACAAAGGAGACTGAGAAGAGCCATTCAGCCCGGGGGAGAATTCAGGAAAGTGTCAAGTCCCTGAAAGAAAAATGGTCAGAGATTCTGGGAAGAGTGTGGTAACAATTAAACAACATTCTTTGGATTTGACAGTTCTAGTTAAGCATTAGAAAATCAATTGTTTCCTGTATAAGAAATTCCTTTCTTCTTCTGAACTACTGTAGCCATTAATTAGTACTTCTTTAAGTTTATTTTATTTTTACTAATTTCTATCTTGAGTACTATTGTGTGTTTCATTTTTAACTTAATCATCTTCTTGAGGATAGGGACCATGATTTTTTTTTATCTTTGAATGATGAATTGTGTCTGGCACAAGGGATCACTAAAATATTTACTGAACAACTGAATTATTGATGATTGCTTATTTAGGCATCAAAATTAAAAACTTTTTTTTTTTTTACCAGTTGTCTGGAAACATTTATAAACTATATTACCTAATTTTCTGCTCTTTAAAATGGAGTATACTGGGCACAATGTAACCTTCTCTTTGTTAGAACCACTCTGTTATACATGGGTGCCTGGGGCTGGGGCTAATTACCCTACACTAAAATGACTGCACTGTTGCTGGTGAGTCAGCCATATCCTTCTTTTCTTTTCCTTGTATGAAAAATAATAGAAGGCCATATGGCAAGATTAATATTTGTCAAAAATTTGAAAATATGAGGTAATTGGGTTACATGAAAATTATTGTATAAAGCCAGTATTATTCTCAATATCTTAATATGGAATTTCCAAATTTAGTTGGATGGGGAAAAGGAAGGGAGATGTGATCAAGGTTGGGGTCAGAGGAAGCTTTTTTATACCCCTGGTGTGAGTGCATAGAAAAACTTTTTAAAATATTGCTTTTTGTACTTTTCTAAACTTACATTGGCTACATCTGTAACTAACAGTTAAATTTGTGGGTTTTAGTTGAGATACTAGATGATTTCCGCTTTTCTGGAAGGTGCATAACATTTTGTTGTCTTTATAAAATTGGCTATCAAAAATTTTAATGTAATAGTAGAATTCATTTTTTTCCCAAAGGAATTTGGAAATTGGAAGACAACCTTCTTCTGTATATTGTAAGAATAAATATATCAGTAATACCTGAAGAAAGCTAAATACTGATCTTATGCTCATAAAGGGTTTAGTGTGAATTTATTTGATCCAATTTATACCTTGGATAAAGATTTAAAAATAATTAACTAGTTATTGATACTTTGGCAAGTAGACTCCCAGGAAACCTGTGATAGTAACATTTTAAAACTCTATCTAAAGGCATACATCAATTGCTAAGTATATGGAGTTCTTGAAATTTGAACATTTCATGAATATAAGGATTCTGAATGTGACAAAATAAAGCATATTATGTTGTCTGCTTCTTTCAGACTATTTTGGCCCAAATCAAAGTGTTATGATTACTTATATCAAGAAGCAGAAGCTCTTCTGAAAAATTTTCCAATTCAAGCCACAATTTCATTTTATGAAGATTCTGATAGTGAAGATGAAATTGAGGAGCTGATCTGTGAAAATTAATCTGATTAGTTACTTTTGATGACATTAAAAGCTTATAGAATTTAAATTTAGTGTACAAATGTATCATAATCCTTTAAACTAATTTATTTGTATATAAATTATTAATAAAATGAAATATTTTGGAATTACAAAGTAGTTTGGCTTTTTTTTATCCTTACACTATAATCCAATGTTGGAATTGAAAAATAAATGCCGTGTACAAATGTCTTGATGGTATTGTAAACATTTGAGGTTTACAAAAGATAATTTTGATCTCTTCATCAAATTACAAATTTAACTTTAGTTATAATTCTGCAAGTATTTAGCTAAAACTTTGCAGAGAGTGACTATATTTAATTTTCAACCTAATCTTGTAACATCTGGTATTTCTTACCGATCCTCATTAGATATTGTAGTTGCAGATGAATATTATTAGATAATGAAGAAAGTCACCTTATGTTACTAATCACACAATATTATGTGTTTGCTTGCAAATGGTGAAAAACACTTTAAATCATTGTCCATAATTGAGAGTGGGAATTA